GGCACTACAGTGATCTAGAGTGTAATTATTGCTTATTTTATACTTATTCTGATAATAAAATAGAGGTGCCATTTGTGATCTAGGCTTTGGAAACTCTTCAGAAAAGCATTATTTTCTAATCCACTTAATGTGATATAAATGACATGAGATGAGATACACATGAAATGAATTTGATAATAATCCACCTCTCCTTGGTGTCGCTTTGTTTATTAGAATAAGTATAAAATGATTAATGACTTCACTATAGATCATTGTAGTGCCTCCAAACTTCTAGGATACATAGGTAACCTCATTTAGTTCAGACTACAACTACAACTCTTACTTTGGGAAAATATGCTAAACTGTATTTTTTTTTTTTTTTACATTTTTCATTGTTATTAAGCAAAAAAAAAGCCAATTTTTACACTTTAGATCATTGTAGTGCCACCAAACTTGTAGCACACATAGATAACCCCATCTAGGTTAGACTAAAACTCATACTTTGGGAAAATGTGCTAAACTCTATATATTTTATTTTTATTTTAGATTTTTCATTTTCATTATAAGCATAAAAAAGCCAATAGGGCTCGAGATCCGCATTGCATTGTGGGACGTGGCCTGTTGTAATCAGTGCAGCTCCCGCCCCATACAGTGATACAGCTGGTGATGATGCTTTCAATAACCTCATAAACTGAGACAAGCTGTTTTTAAATGATTGTTATTGAGAGAAAAAAACTCTCAATAACAATAAGGTTAATCCCGTATGAATAGTTCAAGTCATCTTACAATATCTGTATTGGATTTAAAGGGGAACGACGTTTTTTTTTTTTACATTGGCTTTTTGATTTTACGTTATTACATCATGTTCTACTCACCCATATTGGTTTAGTGTCATTTGGAGCCGTTCTGAAGATATTCCGTTAGGTTATATGCAAGTAACGTCTTCCTATGGGTGACGACTTGAAGGCACAAACTAAACTCTTCATAATTTATCATTTATGGTACGCTAACATTCATAACATGTAGGCTAATCACTGTCCCCCAGACATCCGTGGTTGTAATTTTTATATTTATAATTTTTAAAAACAAAGCGGATTATACAGATTTATTAGAGGTCTACATGTGTATCTGATCTAGCAGAGATAAATTAAAACAGTAGTAATTCAACTTGACCTTAACAAAACTAAAAAATTTGTTAGAATTCATTCAATAACATTTCTTATTAAACACACCCAAAATATTAATATAACTGTCTCATAAAAGTAGTTCTTTTATCAGGAGGGTTCTATGGCCTAGCTTGGGTTGGATTTAACTAAAAACATAAAATTAAAAGTGACATAAAGACAACTGCCATCACTGCATATTAGATGTAATGAAATTCTAAAGTAGAAGAATTTGAAGAAAAACATATGCAAAGCATTCAATAGGATGTAACAAAGAAAAATTAGACAAAAATAAAAATAAATTTATAAAAATATAAACTGATATAAAACATTGAAGAAGACACACAAGATTGTTTTTTTTCTAATAAGTGTCTATTTATTTATCTGGAAACACCATACATAGAACTGTGATGGTTATGGTCTGTATATTAAATATTAAATAAAACATATTAAAGCCATGTTACACACATTTAGGGATGATGTCACACACATCTCACTTATGTTCGAGAAGCAGGTTCCAGTTGGAATTTGCACTCGGCGAGTCTTGTGCTCGGTGACAAGGCTGTCTCACTGCTGCACTGCAAATTATCACCTTCTACATATCTGCATTTAATAAATTTTAATAGAATCTTGAATTGATGGGGGTCCCAGTGGATCAGGCTGCATGTTGCTCTTCTAAATGGTGGTTGTCAAACAATTTATACGATGTAATCCTTAGTATTTGCAGCTGCTGGAGGCTTTTTTGTTGTGTTTTTGTTTGTGTTTTTACTCCTCTGCGTTAATCCTGTAAAGAAGGGCTAAACTTCGAAAACTGGGGAAAAAGCCTAGAACTTAACGGGAGTCCCTAAACCGACTCCATCCCAACTGAAATGCAGTTGTTCACCAAATCTTTAAACATCCTACATTTTGTGCATATATTTATTTTCTATTTTAACGCTTATTCTTGTAAGCCGACTAGTTTTAACATAGTCTGGATGGAGATGGATGTCCTGAGTAAACCTATTTTACCATGTGATATTCAAGATTAATGGTTTCAGAACAGGTGATATCAACCAGGTAACTCAACGCTGAGTTTAAGTCAGCCAATATATCTGGATAAGCATAACCAAGGGCGTAGGTTTGATTTGAACTTTGGTAGGGACACAATTGGTCAGGTGTCATTGGTGCTATGCAATATGCATGCCCTTTTTTATGCTCGATGTGAGCATCCATGCTGATAAGAGCAATTCATTGTTAAAAGAGAAAAGCATAATTTTGCTCCATTAATAAAAATGTTATAAGCACTACACTCATTAGATGCTGTTTATCAATGTTTGAAGTGTCACCAGCTCTGATGAATGTGGAATTAGGACTGTTTTCCACTTTGAAAATGGTTTCATTTGAATGACTAATAGAGAAGGTAAATACAGTATTTTCTTTTGAAGATATAGAATTATGCAGAGGTAAACCCCACTCTTATATTTTTACCTACTATGCTCTTTTTATATCAAGCAAAATAATACATTCATTAAAATATTAACTTCACTATAAAAGTTGAACATCTGGGCTGTAGTTACTCTGTGTCGCCCAATTCATGTATTTTATCTGGGGCTGAAAAAATGAATGATATTAATTGATTATTTCAATAATTGTCAACTAATTTAGTAAGTGATTCATCATTAACTGAAGAATAGAGACTATAAAACATAATCTAAATGTAAAATGTGCCTTTCCCCGACAGAGCAACACACTTAAATCAGTAATTATACCAAAAGTGTAATTATACCAAAATTGTAAAAATACTATATAAATATATATATATATATATA